CGTAATTATATTACGAGTGATAGAAGGTTCAAACGCTTGTGATCATTGCGTTCTGTGCATTCCATTCATTCTTAGTGGAAGTCCAAACCACTGCTTGCTACATACATGCGACGCATGCTTAATAACAACCTGAAGATTAGGATTGCGGGCTCCTCTTGTCGCCCGCAATAAATTCGTACTTTTCGTAGGGCTAGCCTTCTGTTCACAAATAAGAACGGTTATTTTGGAGCGACAGTTCTGTAAAGGAGCAAAGCTGTGCGCCGCACCGATCTCTAAAGTGGAGAGTCACGTATGGATAAGTGTTAATACTATGCTGGATGGCTTTTCTGCAATCCGGTGTGAATATAGCCTCAGGTTCTGTTTCGAAGCCAGGCTAAGTGCCAAGCCATCAATATGAAAATGAAGTTGTACTCTTGAAAGCTCATTTTCACAAGAAAGGGTTTCGATTTAGGCTTGTTTTGAAAGTGAGAGTTTCATGAACTCAGAAATGGCCTTAGTCCTTATTATTTTTACAGGGGGGTTGTTACAATCCCCTGAGGCTACTCCTAATTGTTTATAATTACGACTGGTTTAATTTGTTACACTTCGACTAGGACTTTTAATCTTTATTATGGTTAAAATATTCACGTAAAAAGCTATATACGTGTTGAACCGTTTCTAATTCTAATTCTAATTCTAATTTATTATTTTTTTGCACTGTGTATAATTACTAGATATTCTTAAAAACACCACCACAACAAAGGTATCATACTAATAAATAAAAAAGAGTGTATTTTATTGTTGTTAGATGGGAGTCTCACTAAATATCAATATACGTTTAAAAATTTGTCCATAAAATATTGACTAAAATTCAATAAAAATGATTGACTGATTTAGCTTTGATATGGTCATTCGAAGTTGTTGTTACAAATTCTTCACTCTCTATTGTTTTTCTTGTAAAGTCGAAAACCTAACAGCGTTTCATTTGCATGAGGTGATGATATTTTGCGAGAGTTAATTTAGAGTTTTTCATCTGAATTGCTCATAATTATTTTAATTTAATTTTATATAACATGGTCTATAACAGAAGGGACCAGTGAAAGATGCTGTCTGTTCGTAAATTCACGATAGTGAAATGAATCCAACGGTTGCAACAGACAACAATTTCAATTGTCTATACTCTTATAGATGCTAATGCAAATGTTTGAATATTTTACAGCTATTTTTATGATCTATATTATTTTAGAAAGAAAAATTGGAGTGAATTTGTTTAATTATATCTAATTATATATAATCCACTGATTAATTTTTGCATGATTTAATTGGCTATTTTGGGTCACATGGTAGCAAATCGGAGGTCGGGTATCAGGCAATACACTCGGTGCGCGTCGATATTTGCCCCACAAGTTTTCAGTAGCAAGAACAACAACAACAACAACAATGTATTTATTTAAAGAAATATAAAGTTTACAATACTTCATGTCCTGCAAATAGCTATAATGCTAATCTAGGCAGGACAAGACTTTAACTAAAGGCGTTATTAAATTACATAAGAAAAGAAGAAATACAAAAACATACAGAAGGAAACACCTTACATATAGGTAACAGGGCTTGAAATTGCGACCGATACGGTCGCATTTGCGGCTTAATTTTTCTTATTTGCGACTAGAAAAACGAGAGTAGTCTCAAATTTGCGACTAGGTTTTGCCTTAATTGATACGAAATAAAAGGACTAGCACTTGAATTTTTGCTTAAATAAATTTAGAAATAAAAAGATTCATTGAAGTAGCGTCTTATAATTTTGTTACAATCTGAAGGTTTACCGTAATTTACCTAGAATGCATACACGCAACGATATTCCTTCTTCAACAGCACGCCATTTTCAGCGGGTTCTGTAAACATGTACATTGCAGGCTCATATTTCGTTTTGATTTGCCGCTGACAGTCCCGCCAGCATGCTGAGGACTTTTCCCGCGTTTATGACCCGCGTTACGGCCCTCACAATACACATGTGTTCTTCTTTAGTGAGTCAATTATGTCGGATGAAAGCGACTTAAATTGTTTCAAAAGTCACATTTTAAACAAAGAAATCGACCGAGCGGTTTTAGTTTAAAAAAAAGATTTACATGTAAAATAAATCGGTTCCAAGTGGGTTGCGAATCTACGTATACATGAAAACGAGGTTTAGCAAACAAAGATGGCGGAATGTCCGCATGGCACGTATCGTCGTATTGAATGATTCAGTCCTTCAGGGTTCTTTGAATAATCACTGTAGTAACACCCCTGATACTTCAGATGTAAAGCTTAATATATAAAAGAATTCGTTACTTGTTTTGTCATCGGTGGAAAACCTACAAAAGGTAAAACTAAAGGAATTTAGTTACGTAACGTAACCTATAACCATGTCGGATGTCCGCCCAGTACAAATGTTATTGCTATTTTGCAGAGATTGGAGGCATTTAAGAACTGCAGTTTCCTGCTGTAATATCTGTTCACGATTTGGAAATCTATCGCTTTGACTAAAATAACAGACACTAATTTATGTGCCTTAACACAGGTTCAACTTGATCGTTTAGATGAACTGGTGTTGTCCGAGACGCTAAACGTTCTGTACTATTAAGTCTCGAAATGACATGAAAGCTGTTGAAAGAATGAAAATTAAAGCGTTAATCATTTAAAAGCCTACTTATTTCTTGATTAAATGGCCTCAATTAATTTCGCGACTAACATTTTCAAAGTTGCGACCAAATTTTCGTAACTAGTCACAAATTTTCGACCAGACATTTTTTTTAATTTCGAGCCCTGGGTAAATTCAAGTACAAGGGATTTTGTTATTTGAAAAAGACTGTAACTGGAGGTGTATACAACATATCAGGTTTACTTCACAAAATATTCTATGAAATAATTAACATTCAAATAATTATCTTCATTACCTAGAACATTAAGGAGTAGTGATTTAATTTTTTTTACGAAAATTAGAAACGTTGAGAGTCTTAACAGAAAGTGGAATAGAATTCCAAATAGACACACCAATATTATTCTAGTAAAAGATTTTTTCCTTTTTTCAGTTGTAGAGAATTTGACAGAGAAGCACTCTTTTGCAGATAATCGCGTATTATAATGATGTTTTGTATTGATTTTCGCAAACTTATCGAGAAGACTTTTAGGAGCTGTCTTAGCATGAACGTCATACGTTAAATAGTTTAAATAAAGAAAGCATGACAAAGTCAACAAAGTGAGTCTCTTTTCAGTTTATCTTCTTTAATAATGTCAAATGGAAGCAGTAAAGACAAACTTGTTTTGTATAATCCAGTTACACTAAAATTTTGAGCTTGTTGCAACTGACAGTTCCGGAAAATGCAAAAAAAAAAAAAAAGAAGAAGAAGCTATGGATCGAAGATGAGCAAAATTTTACTAATTATTATACCTTGGCTCCACTATCACAGTCTCTCACTCGAAAGTGAGTCGAACAAGAGAATTGGAAATGAAGCAAGCACGATGTCGAGGCTGTCAAACAACAGACTGATTGCACACACCATGCAAGGTCATGGTCTACAGAGCTTGCCGGCCGGAACAGTCAGTTAGCAAATGAAATGGGCTTTTTCCAGAGGGTTTTGTTTAAAAACCATCTCCTTCGTGCATACTGTTTAGGATTTGACTGATCTGGTTGGATAGTTTTGATTAAAAGTGAAATTCTCATTACGATGGGAATGGTCTGGCCGGTCAGTTCTGGAAAATGGAAAGCGCCCTTTAGTCAACACATTCTACATGCGCTGCGCTAACGAACCAACTCAACGACCTGCTCCCAGTTGGCTTGTTAGTTCAGTTGGTAGAGTGCTGCACCAGTATCGCAGAGGTCAATGGTTCGAATCCCGTAAAAGCCTGAATTTTTTTCAGTCTTTTCAAGTTTAAAAAAAAAAGCTAAACGTGCTTACCTCCGTCATTGTTAAATAGTGCATGTTTATTGGGAAGTTTAGGAGAGAAAGGGCAGGTCAGGTCTGCAAATATACTCCAAATATCAGATGTTGTCCATTGAGGTGTCTTTTTGCTGTTCTTGCTATATATTTTTAGACAATAGTTTAAAATGAAACTAGTAAAATGTTCCACCATTACTCACTTCGAAAACAACTCAAACTTGTCCTCAGGTCTTTTTGGTTAACAAGACAATAATCTGCAATGTTGCTGCATTTTTGACATCATCGGTTCATTTCAATATGGCAAAATTCTTCTAAATTTGGTCAACAAAGGCTGGTTATGATGAATTATGCGTGTGATTTTAGTCAATCAGAAACGGAGAAATATTTTGAATGAATAATAAATATTAATATGGTCTTTGACTCTATTTTTTCTAGTACTTGAAAAATCCCGGACAAGCTACGCTGCTGGAGGCATGACTGGACAGCATCCTTTTAATTTTAACCAAACTGGTTTAAACTTGTTACCTTCACTCGGGAGTCCATTGGGAAATCCCCAGCAGCTTTTGAGTCAGTTACAAGGGTTACGAGCTCCTCAGTCAAACATGGGTCTAGGATCATTTGGTCGAGAAAGTTGTGGAAGACAGAGAATGCAAATCACTGATGATCGTTTCAGAAGGGAACTGCATGACTTTAACCATAGAGAGAGGTCCCTTAGAGAGCCATACATGAGATCTCAGGGAAGGGACAATTACTCTAGTGAGATTCGTGATAGAGTTCGTGGGCTGATGGACAAGGAAGTTCCAGTAGATTTCCTGTTCCCAGAGATGGGCTCAAAAAGAAATGAAGAGAAATATGGAAGGGAGAATAATGGAGAGGCAAAGCTTTGGTATGCACAGCAGAGGCAGATCAAGGTCACCTGTCCGATCTAAGGGACACATAAGAGATAGGCAAGTTAGTCCTAGCAACAGAAAGTATGGATCCCGAAATGACTTAGCTGTTCCCTGGAATGCATTTCTTCGCCGCCATTGTTATCTTGTACCCCCCTTAGATGACACCAATGTTTTGGCATTAAGTAGGAAATAACCAGGATGTCGCGCAATCTTCATGGGTGGTCTTCCAAGCATGGCTGACGAAGACATTGTCAGGGAGATTTTCAGTGTCTGTGGGCCTATTGAACAGATAAGCCTAAACAGTGTCCGAGCAAGTACACAAGTAAAACACTTCCAATTGCGCTTTGTCAAACTTGACTCTGTTGAGAGGGCAGTCAAGTTCAACGGTCATGTACTGGTCATTGGAGATGGTTGCGACAGAAAAACAAAAATTGGTCGCATTCGTGTTGATTATGACAAACTGCCCGGGGGTAGTGAAGAGGTGCAAAGTGGCATGGTAGTCAAGGAGAAAGTGCAGCTGCCTCAAGATGAGAAGGAACTTGATTTTAGCTTTGAGTTTACACGCAAACAGGCGTTCCATCTTTTGGACCTGATTCGTCATGATCAGGCCTTAACAGAGTCACTTGGTACTTTAACACATTGGTTTGAAAGGGGAGAGTGTAACCGTTCTACAGTGAATGTGTTCCATGCATTGCTTAACACTGTCAATAGTCTGATCAAAAGGTTGGTGAGCAGACGGAAGGAGCATGGACAACGTGTAGAGGAACAGAAACAACAGGCTGTGGAAAGAGGCAATGAAATCAAACAGCAATGTAAGTTAAGTCTTTAATGCTTAATATTTAATGCAATTTGACATAATGATAAATGTCTCAGTAATCACTATTCAGGAATAATCATGTTGTATGCAAGGGTGTACCACATCACAGCAGATGTGCAAAATGTTCCTGTGGGTATGTTAAAATATAACCAAGGTGGGAGTATTAAGTAAGTAAAATTAATAATAAAATAATAATAATAAAGTTCTGGGGTCAGCAGTTTTTAAAGATAGCACATGACAGCCATTTTGAAAGCCTCCACCGACTGCTTTTTCTTTTTGGTAAAGAGTTCCAGTCTCTGATTTTATGTGCGATAAAACTGTGTTGGTATTTGGTTGTTTTGGAACTGACTTGAATGAATTTCTTAGGATGGAATTGCCTAGTGCTCTGTCGCCTTTTAAATAATATATAGGGTGGAAATTGTATAGCTAATAGACCAGAAACCACTTTAAACATCATTGTGAGTCATGCCACTTTCCTTCTCTTCTCGAGTTTCTCGGAATGTTTTTGACAATTCCAGGAGTGGTGCCATATTCGTTTCTAACAAAACGTGCCGCTCATCTCTGCTTACTCTCAATTAATGGCCCTCATCTGTTTTTAAATTATTTTGTGGGTCCCATGGGCAACATCCATATTCAATCAGAGGTCTTACTAAAGCAAGATAGGCTTTCTCTTAAACATTTTCTTGGCAAATCTTATTTAGATTTGCTAAGCGCGGAAGAAGTAAAATTGTTATCGTGTCACTTGATAATGATGTGACATGAAACTTTGAAATGTTGTGTACAAATTTTTTGCTACTTTTTATTCTTAAGTGTGTGATGAAATAATCATTAATGATTTATGTTCTTATGTACTATCATTAGGTGAAGCTGTATGCAGGGTTTTGGAAGCAGCAACGAAGCAGAAAGCGTGGGATCATTTCACAAAGGCACGAAGGAAGAACATCACCCAGTGGCATGGTGCCATAAAAAATGTAAGTGTACTCAGTACTTTACTGTTATAAAGTTTATTTTGCTGAATCTTCACAGGCTGCTCCAGAAAATTTAGATCAGAAGGTGAAACAATTGTTACAGTGGAACCTTGATATAATGAACCTTTGTATACGGAAGTCCTTGGTATAACAAATGATTATCTTTACCCCAGTAATAGTAGAACATATGGAAGAGTACCTTGATATAACGAAACCTTGTGACAGCGTATAAATTTTGCCAGTCCCTTGGCACTTTGTTATATTCAGGTTTCACTTTATTAAGTAGGCAGCAAAAGATTAGATCATAATCCATGCTTGGGGTACGTATATGTGGGAGGAGGGCTGCCCCATCTTGCGTGAGGGAGTCCAGGCACCTCTCCTGGAATATTGTTAATTTTGGCCGCCCTGAAAAGTACATTTTAGTGGATTTTTAGTGGCCAGGGGTATAATTTTGCCATCAGAATAGCACCTATGTTTCATATTTTCCCCATATTCTCTATATTTCATATCATATTATGTTTTTTTAATCAAACATAAGCATTAAGACACAAATACCAGTACATCAGATTCATTACCTCTCTTTAAATTAATTTTCTGTCAGTACCCAGCTCTTCTGTGAAATGTAGATGGGAATTGATTGGCCTTCTCGCACCGTTTCTGGAGAACTTCATAAAAATCCTTTTTTGCAGAAATCTGAAATTATTTACCCTTACAAAATGTAAGTGCAAGATTATGATTTTGTGCTTACAGCCATCTGCCATGTTATCAGTTGTAGCCATCAACCTTCATGTATGCCTCTACTGTTATTTAAACCGCTCAGAACAGGCCACTTCTAAAAAAAAACAGCAACAGCAGGCAAATCTTTAATTTCCTTAGCTACAAAATTTAGTAAAACGTTATCCAGCTTTTACACAATGACAATGTTACATCAATAGCATGCCCATTTAGCACACGCACAGAACAATACAGTGAAACCCCGCCTTACGGCCACCTTGGTAATGCAGTCACCTCGTTATTCAGCCACTTTTTTGGATGCCTGGCAAAATGGCCATACATTTTCTTGTAAAAGAAATCCTTGTTAATACGGCCAAATTTTTTTGTCCCCTTGTTGACTGTACTAACAGGGTTCCACTGTAGAATACAAATTTAAGGGTTGAATCTAATTACAGACTGTTTAAATACCTGCAATCATTGTAGTTAAGGGCATTTGTTTGTTGTATCAAATGTTGATAGCAAGTGTTAACATATATGTATTGTTAGTTGCTTGAGATAATATTCATTCAGATGAAGACTTGAAATGGTCGTTACTCCACAAAATATCTTGTTGAGTTTCTTTTTTCCGAAATTTCCTAAGTGGACAAAAGGAAACACAGACCATACCAAAGCTAAGTTGTAGACTTTTTATCATAAAGCTAATATTCTTATAGCTGTCATACAACTCTTGGCCAATCTCGTACATCTTCAGGTCTTTCTAACTTTCCTTGTTGGGTAGGTTAAAGGTGCTAGAAATTATATGATGCATTCTTCAACCAAGACTCCTCCTTCTGTAGGTTTAAAGCTGTAGTTCTATTGATCGCTTACCCAACAACATGAACATTACCAATATTTAGTTGTTGTTAAAAGGTAAGAATCATAACATCAAGGAGGTAAGGGTGGTGCATTGCTGAGAGCACTCGCCACTCACCAGTGTGGCCTTGGCTCAAATCTCACAGTCAACTCCACATGGGTTGTGTTATGTACTCTTTCTTGCTCCATGAGGCTGCTGGTTTCCCTCTATCCTCATTAATCAATATTTTCAGATTCCATATCATTTGATAGCAAGGATGGCACAGTGCTGAGAGTGCTCACTTCCCACCAATGTGACCCGGGTTCAAATCCCGATGTTGACGCCATATGTGGGTTGAGTTTGTTGTTGGTTCTCCTCCTTGCTCCACGAGGTTTTTCTCTTTTCTCTTCTCAAAAAACAACACTTCCAAATTCCAATTCGACCAGGAATCAGGTAGACGAAGAACCACTTTGTGGTTGTCCTTCCTCCAAATCATTATTTATTTATTTATTTATCAGTCTAGGATACTTTAGGCAAAGAAGCACCTTAAGGATGTGCTACCACTAAATGGTTATTGATTCATCATTTTATTAAATACCTTGCCAGTTTTTAGTTTTTCATTGACAAGTGTTACAAATGTGAACATATTTCCCCCCGCCTCTCTTTGATAAGTATTAGTTACATCTGTACGTGTATGGGTGATAAGTTTGACTCTCTCTTTTGGTTTGTTATTTGAAAGTTGCCATGGTTAACACTTGCTGGATTGTTCCTTAAAACAAAATACATGCTCCCTGCATTACACAGCTATTGTCTAACTGGAGTCTGATAGTCCGTGCAGAACACAAGAAACAGCCTTTAGTACCAAATGATTTCCTTGAGAAACTGATGTTTCTCAGTTGTTTAGCCTTTTAAGGTCTGTTGAAGGTTTGATTGTTATCACCACACAAGCATGCTACGTTACTGCCAAAATGTGGGTCACTCAAGTGCCATTTATTTTTCCAGTGTGACAAGTGTTCATGGGGTGTATTTACTTCCCACAGGAAAAAAAAAATGTTACATCCTTCAGTGATTTTGTGACCTCCATGTCCTGCGTCTCTGACGCATAAAAATCCCCAAAGACAAAATAATTTATGGTATTCATTCCATAGGATGCAGAGAGAGATCAATTGATCAATCTAAAGATGTTTTTCTAGAATATCCTGTTTGTGTGATTTCTGTGCCTGTGCTGTTCTTGTGGCTGTTGTTAAACGACTCATTTCTTTTAGTCTTTGTTGTGCTTTACAATAGAAGGAGTATATTACTGTAATTTGGAGTTTTGGAGTCTGTCTTCAGATTAACTGTGTGGTTACAAAAGGCCCTGGGACTCATCGTTTTTTGAACTGGGGCTCATTGGTTCTGGACTGGGACTCATAATTTATCATAAGATGAGTCCCGGGACTCACCATAACTATTATTTTGTAACAGAATCACTGATCCTTTCCAGTCTAACCCCATCCCTTCAAAACCATTCGAGTGCAAAAAAGTAGCACATCACTGTTTACGTGGTCATTCTGTAGAGTATGACCATCCAATAACTGCTGTGGCTACAATCCCTCACTCTTTGAGTGAATTGGAAGACTGTGAAGGTAAGTCAATAGCAGTTCTCACTGTTATCATTGTGTGCCGTCCCCAGGAGATCAAATCAGCCAAAGAGGATGAGATCGAGAACCGTGTCGAGGTAGGTATGGATTTGGATGATGTAGTGCCAACGCTTGGCGGGCTTATCGAGCAACCTGCACTGCAGACATCAGCAGAGGGAGAAAATCAACAGGATCAAGAGGAAGATCAAACAAGCCTATTGACGACAAAAGCCAAGAAGCGGCGAGTGGAAGCTTCAGGTACTGTGTTATTACACCACGGGCATCTATAATTACAAATTTACTCCTAAAGGTGGGTGAGTTAATTATGCACAGTGCAAACCCTTTGATTGGTAACGGGATGGAATTCGATGTGCTGCCATTAAGAAGCTGTTAGCAGTATGCCTGGTCTCTCTTTGACCAAGAGGACTGTTCCTGATATACAATATCACTTGTTTGAAGCTGGTTGTAAGAGATTCAGCTCTGTTGGTCTTTCTGTTGAACCAGGTAAGTTTTTCCAGCTTCTTCCCCTCAAGGGTTACATTAAAGTACAATATGAAGCTGCTCTTGTGAGCAAAGGTTTTTGATCAGTTGGAAGCTTAATACTGATGCTCACTCAAGCAAAATTGGTCTGATCATGCCGGTTGTCGGAGTTAACGACAATTTAAACAACTGTTATGGCTCAATGTTGTAGTTCTTGTCACTAAATACAGGTTCAATGAGAACGTGATTAGAGCTCTTATTTTTCTGTAGCTTCCGTCGGAATCCTCACTAGATGCACGTGATGAGCGCAGAGCAAAATTTATTTCAGTAGTAGTAGTAATCAGGTTTTCAAAACCCTCATCATTTCTTTTTTTTTTTATATCCTTCCATTTTCTCTTGATTGTAACTTGAAAAGTCATCTTGGCCACCGCCCTAAGAAGTAATAAGTCAGTAGAAGTAACATATCTTAACAGTTAAGTGTCAACTCTTCTGTGTAATCTGTCAGTGGATATATCTGTTAGCCTTTGAGCTTTAACCCTCTCTCATTACAGAGGCTATCATTTTCTCATTTTCCCTCACCGAATCAATAGATGCCACTGCCTGAATTGGATTTACACTCTACATTTTGCAACCTTTAGTTGGGGGACAACGTGCATGAGACGGAAACAAGTTATAACCTTACTCGCACTCTTTGTACTCCAAGATGGGACCCTTGGTCATGGTCCATCTTCTTCCCTATTCTTCTCTAGGAAACTTATAGAAGCAGGTAAAGAGAATTAGGATGTTGACATCAGGGACACCGCCCATTAGAGGACCCCATAAACGGTTTACGGTCGTTTCGCCAACGTCCTGTCCGCCAACTTCTGAAGTCGATTCGCGTGCGTGTTGAGTCAGCTCCTTAACGGCTTTCTCCTGATCAGTGGCTGAAAGAACGAAGTATATACATGCGTATCGCACTTTTTTGTATCTTGGCTGAGAGAACGAAGCATATACATGCGCAGCGAATGGGACGTTAGCGAAACGACTCGTGACACGTAGGTGAAACAACCGGTCACCCCCTAAGCTACGGCTCAAGCCACATGCAAATGCTAAATATTTGTCAACTTATTAGAAGTGCAATCATTGAGTCGTCGTACTTCTTCCCTCATTAGAGACCTTTAGATTCAGGACGAGGACGACTACGAGTGCGAGATTAGACTTCAAGTTTTTTCGCGTATTCTCAAAATATAGACTTCCCGGAAAGCTTCATTTTACCATTTTTCACGAGAAAAGTTAGCACTGTTACCTTTAGTGAAGGAGGTTGCACCCTCTCCTGATGGCAAAATGATAAAACTTTTAACATTTGATAACTTGTTTCCGCAACTTCGACATTCTCGCTAAAACTCGTAGTAGAGTGACGACGGCTACCACGTCTTCCCGCCAAAATGACGTTGGTTCACGCGCGTGCACTACGTAGTATTGAGAACATCTCGTACTCGTAGTCTTACTCGTGTTAGAATCTAAAGGTCTCTAATTTGTATTGAAAATGTGGTATCAACTACAGAGAATTGAGGTTTTAGCAGTAGGGATTAAAGGGTTTATTAATTGTATTTATCCTGTAGAATCTGATGCTGACTCAGCGGATTCCCTGAGGTTAGAGAATGAAAAACTGCGAACGCAAGTTGAGAGTCTAAAGGCAATTGCTGAACAAAACACAAGTCTGATGTGGTCCATGCAGAGTTATCAGTACCAGGCAGAGGAGATTAGACAGCAGTACAACAACATGATAGCAGCTAAAGATTATGAGGTAGGTACGAATAGCCGGTGTGAAAATACTTATTCTTTGAAGGGTCGTAACCTATTCGAGGGCTTTAGATTCGAGGACGAGGACGACATTTAATTTTAAGTTTTCTCGCCTATTCTCTAGAATAGACACCCCGGAAAGCTTTATTGTACTTTTTTTCACCACCAAAGTTAGCACACTTATTTGTGTTGAAGGAGGTTAAGCCTTCTCCCGATCGCTAAATGATAAAATTTCTAACATTTGATAACTTGTTTTCGCCAATACGACATTCTCCCTAAAACTCGTAGTAGACTGACGACGGCTAACACATTTTTCCGCCAAAATGACGTTGGTTTGCACGCGCGCACTACTTAGTATTGCGAAAATCTCGTTCCCGTAGTCGTCCTCGTCTTAGAATGTAAAGCTCTTTATTCATTCTTTGCTAAAAAAGACATCTGGCATTCTGCGAGGAAAGCCTCCTTTTGGTGTCTTGTCATGTTGCCCGAAAGTCATCTCGCCCGAAGTTATGTCGCCCGAAACATAGTTAATTGAGTGGAATGGTTATGAAACCCGTCAGACTCCTTTGTTATATGTTTTTGTGGACCTGAAAGTGCACAACGTTCAAAAGAATTCCTATCATTTTGATTGTACTGACCAATAAAAACGTTGCATTAATTTATTCCGTAACAATTTGCCAACAGAAAACAAAGGATTGTGCACTTTCACGGTGCTTTGAACATAAACTGCAGCACTGTTGTTTTTATCATTGATGTTTGCCGCTTTTCATAACCAGTCTCCTCTAATAACTATGCCCGAAACCAGAGTTAAGTCGCCCGAAATGCTGAGTCATGTCGCCCGAATTTTATTAGGTGAAGTGCACAGAGAAACAAAGTGAATTTTTGTGAAGTAAAGAGTGTATGTGACATATCTCGTTCTTTAAACCATCATTAGACGAAACAAGCGGAATGAATGTGTAACATACCTCGCTCTTTAAGCGATGATGAGACGAAACAGGCGATATATTAAGCTTATGTGTAATATCTCTCGCTCTTTAACCATTGATGAACAACGAAACAAGCGCGATAAATGAGTAATATATCTCGTTCTTTAATCTTCGATGAGACGAAACAAGCGTGATATGTGTGTAGTAGGGATGTTAGGATGTTGTTAAGCGTGATAAAACTTCGAGCCACCTAGCTCGACTTACTAAAAATTTCGGGCGACATAACTCTGATTTCGGGCGAAATGACTTCGGGCGACTTGACCAGAAGGAGAAAAGGACTCTCTGCCTGAATCACGTCAAGCCTTTGAAGTCACAGCAACCCGGATGTATGAACTAGTCAATCTTGTTTTCTCTCGTCAAACTGGTTTTTTAATGCAAGCATCCATTTATTGATAAAATTGCTGGTCATAACTGAGCCCGCAGTACCAAGCGCATGGCTCTTAGGCCTGGATTGGAAACTTTATCCAAGCAACATGCAGCTCTCGATTCGTGCAGTCTTTCTCCAGTACACCAATATTGATCGAGCAAGCAACAGAAAGGCGCTGCTGGCAGGTTGAAACTATCTTTAAGGCTAGTAGAATCCATTTCCCGCCGTCCTCTGAACTGAGCGCGAACTACTGTAACTATTCAAAGCATAATAGAAAACACCCAAGCAGGGAGATGAAACTTCAAATGTATAAAAAATTAATACAAGGTATTTTTTTTAGGTGAAAGCCGTGTTAGTCATTACAGGGTATCCAAAGAGGGTGACATTGGGTACCCTGTTGAAAGTAAAAACGTAGACACTAAAACAGAACAAAAGGGGATCAAAGAGGAAGTGAAAGATGAGAAGCTTGATGATGGTAAGGTGGCAGATGACAAAAAGAGCCATCAAGATGAGTAAGACATAAACACCGAGGAGAAGGCGAAGGTATTTGTCGAAGATGAAAAGAGCCACAAGGAAGATGCGGAAAAACAAACCAGTCAGGAAGAGAAAGAAACTGAAAAAATTAAACAAGTAGAAGATGACAACGTAGAAGAAGAAGGGAGTGGCCGCTTTGTGGAGATCGATGACGAGCAGTTTGAAGTGATTGATGACATGGATGAGGAAGACAGCGATGATGATTACAAAGAAATTACTGCTGGGGGCAGTTCTCTGCAGGTTTTCGATAACAGCGCCCAGAAAGTTCAAGACAATGAAAAGGCTGAGTATATGAACAGTGACCGTGCAAACGAACAGCTTGCGAGTGATTCAACTAATTATGCTGAGATTGACTCCAGTACCCAGGGAAAAACGCAACAACGCGAAGATGATTACAAAGAGGTCAAAGCGCAGCACCAGGTAACCACCGACTCATCAAATTACCAACTAAATTACGATTCTCAGTATCAAGCTTGGCTCTCAGCAGCTGTGAACAGCCGTGCATCCGTGAATTACGTACCCAACCAGGTGCGCATCTCCGGGGAGGAGCTCGTACTTGTTAGTATTATATGTTCCTACCTCCAGCTTTGCCCTGCAGGAGCTACAAGTGGCGAGATACGAGATTACCTGTCGAGGCAGTTCAAGGAGCGAAGAAGGGATGTGGTAGATAGATTGCTTTCAAGCTTGCCCGTTTTGTTCAGGGCAGAGGATGCTAGTGGAAATGCCAAGTGGAAGTTCTGTGGATTAGAGAAGTTGGCTGAGGCAAAAGGCGAGAGCTGAAGAAACGTACAGAAACGTACAGGGACACCAAGCGGACATAGCTGCTGTTCATGCATATGTCATATCTGATAGCAACTTAAGACGGAATCCACTAGGACATTGAGTAATTTTGATTTTTTTGGACAAAAATCTTGTATCAGAATAATTTAAAGCATATTGCATTCTTTATTACATTTTTCAAGGGCTAAAGATGTGATAAATCATCTGTAGTAACACCAACAGAAATTTATTGTGGGAGCACCAAATTACATAAAATTACGTGAAATTTTCAGAATTTTACCTGTGTGTAATCACAATTCTTTTGAAATTTAACGTTCATATTATCGGACTTCCATGAGAAATTTTCTTTGGTGTTACTGCAGAT